GGGGGGGGGGGGGGGGGGAGGGAAGAGAGATCATACCCCTCTAGGAAAAGCAGAACGCTCTTTTGGGATAAATGGTGATGGCAGCATATAATGGAGACTGTACAGCACCAACCTGGTGAGGCCAGAACCACCAAGTGTCTGAATTGTCAGGGGAGGGAGGGGGAAAAATCTGATGGTGTGGAGATGTGATTTAGCTTGCCTGCCACCATGCAAGAGCAATAAATACCTGTTTTGGTTGCCTACACCCACTTTGATTCAGATATACACCGAACTCCAGGGCAACCCAGTAAATTGTTTTCTAGATTGTAAACGTTGCAACAGAGCTCCGTAGTTTGCATTTTATTTATTGAATTATGTTACCTGTGGTATCATCTCCCCAGGCTGCTGGCTTTGTATCAAGGAGTATCAATATTTGCATCAGCACAACATTGTAAGATTAGAGAATAGGGTCATAATGGGAAGGGGGGGACGCAACACAACATTGAATTTTGTTTTGATTTCTCAATTTTGTTATTCTGTACAAGCTACCATATGAATTTGCAGGAAAGCCTCAAACCGCAAACCCTCATATTGCAACATACACAAGTGATCCATCTCTAATCACTGATCCCATAGAAACTGGACTAGAGAGCCAATCAGGTGACAGCTCGCCAAGTTTGCAGAAGCGAAACGCCAGCAACACAAACGGTTCCCAGCATTCACTGCAGGCAGACTCTGGGGCCAAATGCAGAGCTGACACTCAACTCACCCCATTACAAAAGGCATGGAGAATTTTAAGACTTCGATTCAATCAGAACCTCATATTACCTTCTACTGTGTAATCCTATCACATCCTACAGGGATCATATATGCAAAATACATTATCACTACTCCCCCCCTTAGCCCCCACTCTCCAGGTGCTGCCAAGGAGCCATGATGGTCCCATCAGGACCAACAAAAGACCTTCCTCTATGCAATAGCTGCTGCAGCGCTTCAACAACCAAGCTGTCAATCTAATAATTCCCAAGACACTGGAGCAGTACTAAGCCAGGGAGTTCTGTCTTAGCTCCACACCGCTTGGGAACTACAATGCCCAGCCTTCCCTACCAGCCAGATACCCAGTACACACAGCCAACACAATAGACTGTTCAGTACACTGGCACCACACACACACATTGCTCTCCGTGCTAGGTCAACTACAACACCCAGCATGGCCAGTGATGGAAACTAGAGCTGGGGCCAGAGATCAGTGCATATGGGAGAGCAAGCAGAAAGGTTCAGCATGCAGGTGGACTACATGTCTCATCTTTCCAGTATGCAATGCAAACCAGGGACCATCACCAGAAGCCATAATCAGTATATAATTAGCAAGTTATCTCCTCCAGCAGCTGGGGGGGGACCCACTACACCCAGCATGGCTGGGGAAAGAAATTGCCTTACCCAACTACAGAACACTAATGTCCAGGGACCAGTCAACCCTTATAGACCTATCACCCCAGAATCATAGACGAAGTCATTATCCTCGAAGAAGCCATGGAAGCCGACCACGTTCTTGTGCGAGAGGCTGCGCTGGATGGCGATCTCCATGGTCATCTTGTCCTTCTGGTGCGGTTTGAGTAGCATGGACTTGGGGACGATCTTCCCGGCGTACACCTCCCGGCTGGCCAGGTCGGTAATCTCGTAGCACTTGGCGAAGCCCCCCTTGCCCAGGAAGCGGCCGCGGAGGTAACGCCGGCGACTGCGGGGATCCACCAGTATTTCGGGGATCTCCTTCACCGCCGTAGAGCCGGGGATGCCGGGAGGCTTGGCGGGCTGAGCGGCCGTCCTGCCGTCTACCTGTGCCATGTTTGCACGGAGGAGAAGGGAAAGGGGGAGGATGACACAGATCTGAGGATGCGGTTATGAAGACTGGAGACGGCGGGGACAGGCTGCTGGTGACCCGGCTCGGCACAGACGCTGCTCCGATTCGCTGCACTCTCTCTGCTCCCGGCCCTCTAGCCGCCGTTGGTTTTGAAGCACAATGCACGCCGCTGATTGGCCGATAGGATTTAAATTCCGAATCCGCCGGCCGCGGGGCACCATGGGATACGACAGATTTAAAAGGACTGGCTGAGCGCGACTAGCTTTATTGACAAGGGACGTTGGTGCAAACGGACAAAGTGGGCGGGTAAAGTGTCGTGAGGACGGGGAGAGATAGGGCTGCTGAGCCATAAATATGGCTGAAAGTTGATGTAAAACCAAACTGAATGACATTATGTTTGATAAAGCTCTGTATATTATAAATAATTACCAGATTTTTGTTAAAACTCTGTGTGTGTTTTTTTTTTATGCCAGCTTCCTTGTATCTGAGTGTTCTACAGCCTCTTTACAGCCACTTCCTGTTCACGTGTACCCAGTGATGGCTGCATGGTCCCACCTTTAGGCAAACATGTGACAAGGGTGACAATGCAGGAGAGCTTTGGAACACCAGGACATAACGTTGTCACCAGGGCCGTCCCTATAATGAGGCAGCGTGACGAAGTTGCCTCAGGCAGCATCCCACTGGCCACGAGCTCTTAGCAACCCGAGACGCTCTATCTGCCATCCCGCCAAGCTCATCGACTTAAGTGGTTGCCTAGAGCTGAGCCGGACCCTCTGGCTTGTGTCCCGATGAGCTTCTGTCAACTAGTGACAGCAGTGAGCTGGGCAGGACCCCAGACAGAGCCGCTGACAGCGTTTTCCGGCGTTTGTCGCCTCTCCTGTCACCCGCAACAAGTGCACCAGTGACAACCACCTGTCAGCATCCGACTTCCCTGGAACTTCCTCAGGCAGCACATAACAAAGGAACGGCCTGGTTGTCACCCTGTAACAGGAAGTGCCTCAGTAATGAACCTCGTGGCAGGATCATCAGAGATTATGTTAATACAAAATACTGAAAATCACTTTTGAAATGACATTACCATTTTTAAGAATAAGTGTACTTATTATAATTGTCCCCCACCATCATCTAACAGATCCCCCCTCCCCCTCTCCAGATGCATTCTTACCGAGATCCGCCTCCTGTGCTTGACATCCCGTGCTGCAAGGATGATTCATTGCCTATGCAATGGCGTCGCAACATCCCGCCACTAAGTGCTCATCCTTCAGCATTGTCTATTCAGGATGATTTCCCTTCACTCCCTTTCACCCCTTGTACATGAAATGGGGTTGTCACTGGGACAAGCTCTAAACCAGGGGAAGGCAACGTTAGCCCTCTGGTTGTTGTGGAACTACAAGTCCCATGAGGCATTGCCTCTACATGACAACTACAGGCATGAGTCCCAGAGGCAGAAGCATGACGGGATTTGTAGTTTCATCACTCTTCCTGAGTCTCTGATCACCATATGTCCTGTAACTCAGCACAGGGGAGTCCCAAGGCCGGGTGTCATCTGGAGCGGGTACCGGGTGAAAACCTCCTGTGACGCCATCGTGCATTAAGTCACCACGCATGTGTGCGATAACGTCATCGCGCATGCTCGACCATCTTGGTGATACCTGCTGGCAGCCATCTTGGTGATGGACACCAGCAGAGGGAGGAGGAGATGTTCACCCAGCAGGATAAAGTATGCCGCCGGGTCTCCTCCTCTCTCCTGCAACTTTTCAGAGGGGGTGACACCAAAATAACTGTCAGTCATTTTGGTGTCACCCTTCCAATGGTTATCCGTTGTCACTGCTGCACCCGCCCGGCTGCATTGGGCTTCCTTCGGTCAGGAGTGCGATGGGATATGAGGATTACCCTTCCAATGGTGTCTCCCGGGTGCGGGCCGCACCCCCCTAGTGACGCCACTGACTCAGGACCCCCAAGTGCCCAACAGGAACCTTGCGGACCAGTCTTGGAATTGCTGGAAGCTGAGGGGTCTCTCGTGTGTAAAGCTGGCCATAGCCTGGTTGAATTTCAGACAAATCCTGCTGATTTGGCCAAAACTCAAGCAGTGTGTGGCCCCGTTGGGACCCCCCTTTTGGCAAAATTCAATTTCATTCCCCCATCCACACCCCATGTGTCTGGCCAGCTTATGTGAGCGTGGCTGTGGAGGTGTGAGCCGGAGTGATGGTCCCCGGGTTTCCGACCCTCCATCACCGAGATTTATGAAGTAGGCCCGTGAGAGTGCTGATGCTTAGAGGAGGCTCTACATGCAGATTTCATGCTCCAGCTCCAGGCCAGAAGATCGGGGGAACCTCCCTCGGAATGGAAGCTGTGTGACTCCGTATCAATCCACTGGAAATGTACTAATAAAAAGATGACGGCAAGATCATTGGATGTCATGATCACATTTAGGTAAGTTTGGGATTCTTTCTACCATTGTCCTTTGACCATCGCCTTCGCGATGTCCTTTTACCTAGACACTTACCCACCCCCTTCCCTTACCCACCATTTCCCTTATCCCCCTCCCCTTATGCCTCTTCCTTTACTCAGCCCTTCCCTTGGCCCCTTTCTTTTGCTCACCCCTTCCTTTACCGCCCTCCCCACTTCCCTTAATCCCCCTTTACCTCACTCCTCTTCCTTTAACCCATGCCTTCCCTTGTCCCCCTTCCCACCCTTACTTTACTCCCCTTCCCACCCTTACCTTACTCCCCTTCCCTTACCCCCATACTTTTACTTCCCTTACCCACCCCGTCCCTTACTACCTCCCCTCCTTTACTCCCCTTCACCTTAACCCCTTTCCCTTACCCATGGCCTCCCTTGCCCTCTTTCCCTTACTCACCCCTTCCCTTATCCCCTTTCTTTTACTCGCCTCCCCTTGCTAACCCCTTCCCATAGCCCTTTACTTTTACTTCCCTTACCCTTCCCTTACCTCCCCTCCCTTACTCCTTTTCCCTTACGCACCCTTTCCCTTAACCCTCCTCTTCCTATCTATTCTTTTTTGTGCTACTCTTATAAGAACCTAGGGAGGCCAACCCACCTCCAACCTTGGAAGTTACGAGACCTGATAGTGGAACCGATACCGAGGTGACCAATCCCCAGTGTCATTACATCTGTCATTGGACTCCACTGTCATTGCTGTTGGTACATTTTTATTTCTTATCCGCCATTGGATTGGTACCCTGTAAAGCAGGGGTGCCCATTAGGTAGATTGTGATCTACCAGTAGCTCTCAAAGCTGATGCTGGTAGATCACGAAGGGCCACAAAGACAGCCAGGAGGATGAGCAAGGAGAGACAGCCAGGAGAGAGAGCCAACGAGAGAGAGAGCGAGGGAGGTTTTTTTTTAGTTGGTAGATCTCATGTAGCTCGTCATTTGAAAAGTAGATCTTAACACAAACAATTGTGGGCACCCCTGCTGTAAAGCTGGTACTTGGTCTTCTCTGGTAGCCTTGGTTTGTACTGTTGTGTTACTACTACCTTGAAATCTAAAAAAATAAAAATTTTGAACATTTTTAAAATAA